AGCGGCTGCGCAGCATCCTCCGGCCGCCGCGGCCGCTGCCACTAGCACGCCCGTGCCGCGGCCTGCAGCAAGGCCAGCGGGCAGCCGACCCGCAGCGGCGCGATTGGACTTAGGCTTGGTATCTGAGGCATTAGCGGCGGCGCTGACAGCGACAGCAGACGTATCACCGCCGCAGGCTCCGGAGGCAGCTCCCGTTCAAGGGGCAACTGGTTCGGCGGCGACGGCATCGCAGATGCAGTCGTCGTTAGCGATGCCGGCGGCGACACCGGAGGCGCAGCCAGTCCGCTCACCATCTAGCACAGCTGCAGCAGCGTCCATGGACGCAAGTGCGCCTCCACCTCAACCAGAGGATAACGATACTGAAATGGAGGATGTGGGTGTGGAGCCTTCCAGTGCGCACGGTGCTGGCGCGGTTGCGACGCAGCCGGCAGCTGAGCCTCCGTCCAGCGCGGGGACGGGAAACATCCATCCGGCTGAGCCGACATCGTCCGAGATGGGCCAGGCCGCCGCATCGGATCCCATGAGTGCAGACGTGGCTAGCGCGGGCACGGCAGCGGCAGCGACGGCGGTTGCAGACCCGGCGCTCGTCTCGACGGGAGGTGCTGGCAGCTCAGGTGACGCAGGCGCGGGGGCCACAGCGGCTGCGGCTGACGAGGATGGGCAAGGAAACTCCCTTGATGCGCGGCTACGGCGCGCAGCGTTGGCAGCAGGTAGGCATGCGACGTGCTTGGCCCTGTACGGAGTCATCTGGGTTTCCCGCTGCTGCAAATCGGCACTGTGGTCAAATAGTTTGAATGCCGTCCTGTTGTCGGGATCGGCACTGTCATATGCGTCAGCTGGCAGTGTGTATGATGACCACCGCGCATTTGATATTTGGTGCATGTGCCAACAGGGATTGACCTGGCGTTCTTGGCGGCTCTGCCAGAGGACCTTCGCGATGAAGTTCTGCTAATGCATGGTGCCGTACTGGAAGACGAGCCCCAGCAGCAGCCTCCTGCTACGGTGCCAGCACCCACCTCCGGCGCAGCGGCACCGGCACCGGCGCAGGAACAGCCGCAGTCGGCGGCAGCTGGTGACACCCCGTCCACGCCTGGCAGCGCGGCAGCCGGTTTAACAGAGGCCGGTGCTGCGGGCGGTGCCGCAGCAGCGCAGCCGGCGGACACAGTTGGTGCTTCGGGTGGCGATGCTGCGGGTGCCGAGGCAGCGACAGGCAGGGCCGGGGATGCCATGGCGGTGGATGAGGACGGCGTGGACCCGGAGTTCCTGGCGGCCCTTCCCGAGGATTTGAGGCAGGAGGTACTGGCACAGCAGGTGCGTCCTACGCAGCGCGGCGTAATTCAGCGTACGTAGGGTTTGGGGATTGCCGAGCTGCAAAATAGGGCCTCTCTGTGGCGGTCAGGCCTCTTTTTTGCCGTTTTGGCATGTTCCCATCGGGATGTTCATCGCCCCGTGGCGACGTTACGTTGAGATAAAACCAACTGTTGGCATCCATTCTGCCTTTGTGGGGTGAAAGTTTTGGGTTTAGCGGCACAGCAGGCGCGGAACAGAGCTCCAAAAGGTAACCGTTCTCTTGTTGGCGGTGGCGCTGCTTGTACCCACACAGCGAGCGGAGCAGGAGCGCCGCCGCCGCGAGGAGGAGCGCCGCCGCAGTGCCGCGGCAGCAGTAACGGGGCCCGGACCTGCGGATATGGATCTGGCGTCATTGCTGGCAACCTTCCCTCCGGACGTACGCGAGGAGGTGCTGTTGACGAGCGACGAGGCGCTACTCGCCACGCTGCCGCCGGCGCTGCGGGCGGAAGCCCTGGCGCTGCGCAGTCGTTACCAGCGCAACCAAGCCATGGCGGCAGCGGCAGCGGCCGCAGCGGAGCCGCCGGCTGCGCAGGCAGCAACGATGCGCGTCCGGGTGCCGGTGCCGGGGCTGTACGGTGGAGAGCCGATGGCCAACCGCCTGGCGGCTTCACGGATGGTCCCTGCGGGAGCACAGCGCGGCGCCGCGGGGGATGTGGAGGCGGCGGCCAGGAAGGGCAGCGGGAAGGCAACGGACGACGCCGACCAGGTGGGATCCCTTACTGACTGGATAGCAGTGAACTACCTCTCTGCAAGGGTTCTGAAATTCACAAATGGATTTTGCTGCACGGGTAACACACCTCTCCTTGTTGCCTGAGGCTGGATGGCGGTCACCATCTGCAGGGACTACTGCAGCTAAGCTATAAAGCATTTTCGTCTTGTCCATGTCTTTGTCTCCTCGGCTCTTTTTTCTCCTCCATCCGGCCGATGTCGGTGTTCGCTTTTGTTTGGCGCTCCCTTGCAGGCCTTGGACGGACCGCCGTTGCTGGACGAACATGAGCTGCATGCACTGGTGGGGCTGCTGCGCAGTGGCTCGCTGCAGCAGGCACGGGCGCCACTGCAGCGTGTGCTCAGCAACCTGTGCGCACATGCATCTACACGGCGAGCGCTGCTGGCCATGCTACTGGACATGATGCGTCAGGCGGTACCGGCGGCGTCACAGGGCGAGGGACAGGGCGGTAGCGGCGCGGCGGATATGGAAGTTGAAGAGGTAAGGTCCCTAAAAGTGTCTCTTACCAGAGAAAACAAGTGGGAAGGTTGGCAATTGTGGTGTGTGGTGTTCATCATCATGGTGTTCATCATCATGGTGTTCATCATCATGGGAAAACGTTGGTGGGTGCTTTAGAATGGATTTGCGTCTGAGGATCCAATGTTGACCTGGTCAGGTGGATGAGTGTAGTGGATCAGTGTTAATGCCTGGACAGGAGCTGCACAGCCCTGGCAGTTCATTGCATGTTACCAGCTGCATCACAGGCAACGGCGTGTGTGAGGCTGCTGAAGGAGCGCGGCACGCAACACACCATATAAGTACCTACTTGGGGCATTTGTCGACACTTTTTATCACTCTCATTGCTCGTTGCGCGGCTATATCCTCACCAGTCGCTTACGGACGCTTGGACGGATACATGTGCACGCTGCAGGTGACTGCTGCGGCGGGCAGGGGAACTGGGGAGCCGAGCGCGGCGGCAGGTGCGGTGTCTGAGACCGCTACTGGCGTTGAGGCATCGTCGCCAGCCATCGCTGACACGCCGAGCGATCCCCAGCTGCGTCGCGCACTGGAGACGCTCATTTTCCTGAGCCGCAACTCCACCAAGGTCTCGACGCTTCTACTTTACCTCCGGCCGACCCTAAAGCTGCAAGCAGAGAGCGCCGCTGCAGCGCCGGCCCAAGTCATGGACAACAAGGGCAAAGGGTTGGCCCAGCCGGTGCAAGCCGCAGCTTCGGCTACAGCGCAGGCCCAGGCGGCAGGCCCAACGGTCCTAGAGCTGCTGCTGGCGACGCTTGGTCGACCATCGAACCAGCAGCGCGGCAACGTGACGCTGGACTTGTCTCTGAGGCTGGCAGACCTGCTGCTCGGGATGGCACTCGCGCGTGTGGGCGAGCTCCGGCAGCAGGAGGTGGAGGCATGGACTGCGGCAGCCGAGCAGGCCCGGAAGGTCGCTGCCTTGCCCGCGCCTGCGGTGGCGGCTGCTGTAGACGCTGCCGGTGGAAGTGTGGCGATGGAGACGGAGCGACCATCGGCGGCAGCTGCACCTGCTGAGGGATCCACGCAACCCACGCAGCCGGCTGGCGGCGAGCCGGCAGCTTCAGGCGCGGCTGCGCCCGCTGGAACAGCAGCGTCAGGACTGAGTGGCGCAGCCGCTGCAGCAGAGCCACCGGCACCAATGCAGCTACCCGCTGAGACTCGCGCAGAGCTGGCGACACTGCCGTGCCGGCGGCGCGCTGACGAGCTGTGCGCGTCCATGGAGTCTCTTCCAGCATCGCTGGTGCGCCAGGTACCACTGCTGCTGGCGCGGCCGGGGCTGACTGATGCTGCTTACGTGCGCGTAGCGGGCGTGCTCCAGGGCCTGGCCTGTGCAGCACCGCAGGCGCACGCTGTGCCGCTCCTAGGCCAAACGACCACGGAGCTATGCCGTGTCGGCAGCAGTGTTACTGAGCTCCTGGTACGTGGTGCACAACACGGTGTTTCGGATGCTGACAGCGCCGTCATCACAGGCATGGCCACACAAGGCGGCCACGTGCTGCGCCTGCTACGAGCGCTGCAGGGCTTTCGTTCGCTGCCCGACCCGAAGATGCAGCAGCTACTGCTGCCGCCCAACACTGCCGCTGGCAGCGATGAGGATGCGGAAGCGGCGGCAGCGGCGGCGGGTCCTAGCTCGAGTACCTCCGCGCCACCCCCCAAGAACTACCGGGCTGAGGCAAGGGAGGCTTTCGCCGCGCTGCCGGGAGAGGTACGGAATGCGGTGGCGACTGCAGCCACACATCTGGAGCCCTTGTGGGCGGCGCTATCGTCCTGCATAACGGCTATTGAGGATTCAATGGCGCGGGGACCGGGAGCTGCGGCGCAAAGCGTTGGTGGTAGCAGTGCCGCTGCTGCCGCCGCGGGCGATGCAGGCCCGCCAGCCGGTGCCGAGGACCCATTACAGGCTGCTCAGGGCAGCAATGCCGTGGCCACTGCAGCAGCGGCGGCGGCGGCAGCTGCAGCGGCAGCGTCCGCCGGGACCTCTTCACGGTCCCTTCCGCCCGGGGCTGGGCAAGTGCTGCCGCTGGTGGAAGCCTTCTTTGTCATGTGCGCACTGCGCGATGCCATTCCAGCAGCCGTCAGCGGGGTAACTGGAGCTGGAACGACCGCCACTGGCGGTGCGGAGGCTACGGTTGGAGGACAAAGCCGCGACGCGGCGCAAGCACCACATTCGTTCGGGGACGTCAGCGGCGCCGCAGCTGCTTCAGCTCGCGGTGCCTCGCCGGGCCCGCCGCCAGTGCCTTTGCTACACAGTGGTAGCCGCGGCGCCAGTGGATCGCTACCACCTGTGGCGAACATTGTTTCAGGTGCTGCTGCCGCTGCAGCGGGCAGCGGCGGTACCGGCAGTGCATCCAACAGCGCCGGTATCACTGCCACGGCTCAGCAGCGGGAGGAGGAACGGGTGGCGCCATTCCTACGCTTTGCGGAGCGCCACCGTCGGCTGCTCAACGCCTACCTGCGCCGAGCGCCGACGTTGCTTGAAGGTTCGCTGTCGCCGCTGATGCTGGTGCCACGCCTGATCGATTTCGATAACAAGCGCGCCTGGTTCCGGAGTAAGGTTCGCGCGACGCCTGACAACGAGCGGCCGTATGGCTCCCTGCGGCTAGCGGTGCGCCGCGAGCACGTCTTTGAGGATAGCTTCTACCAGCTGCGTGGCAGGCCGGCGGAGGAAATGAAGCTCAAGCTGAATGTCACATTTCAGGTGAGGCCCCGGCGTTCATGTAATAACACGAGGTGCTTTCCTTAAATGTTATTGTTGTACAACCGGTGATTACTTAGGGTTTTCAACTTCGCTTGTTTGTTGAGTGTACAGGGCTGCGTCAAGCGTCACTTGCATAGTTACGTTGTTTTTATCTCCGTAACCGGTTGTGGCTGCTCGCGACCAAGGCATCCTGCCCAATATAATTGACGCTTACCTATCTGGGCTGTTCAGGGCGAGGAGGGCATCGATGCGGGTGGCGTAACTCGCGAGTGGTACCAGGTGATGGCCCGCGAAATGTTCAACCCCAACCTGGCGCTGTTCGTGGCAGTGCCGGATGGCGGCTCCACTTTCCAGCCCAACCCGAACAGCCACGTGCAGAACGACCGCGGTATTTCCCACCTGGACTACTTCCGCTTCGTGGGGCGCGTCGTGGGAAAGGTGAGGCAGGTGCATCCAGGAAGGCGAGGTCAAGTGCACGTAGCATTCGCTTCTTGCTCATGGCGAGCTTCAATATGGATAATGTTATAGTTTTTTGAGTCCCGTGGTTACCTAAAACCCCACACGTCTGAATGTCAATTACGGATAACCTCAGCGAGGGGCCTTCCACGGCATCTTTAGCTGGATGTGCATCCTGCGTGGCACACAGCCCTCAGTAACGCGGACGCCTAAGTCGCGTTTGAATTTTGTATCCGGCCAGTTAGTCTATTCTGTTCATCCTGTTTTCCTTGTGAGGCATGTGCTTTACCCGCCGTGAATGACCATCAGGCTTTGTACGACGGGCAGCTCATCGATGCATACTTTACCCGTTCCTTCTATAAGCACCTGCTTGGGTCGCCGCTGACGCACGTGGACCTCGAGGCCGTGGACCCTGAGTACTACAAGGTGTGTGCCTATCTCAACGAGGTTATAGGTAGAGGGCCATATCCCGGTGGTCTGGGGGACGAGGAGTGTTGTTCGCCCAACGGGCCTTAGATGCCGTGGAAGTCCATGTGTCGCCATGGCGTAATAAGCACCCAGCGTGGTCATTACTTTAGATGCCACAGCCTGTACGCAGCAGTCCTCTTTCACTCCTCGCGCCGAATAATGTGGTTGTCTTTAATCACGGTCTCTTTGGAAGGATCCACGGATAAATGCATTGGTATGACCTCTTGGCTGCCGACGATTGGTCTTGCCGCTAGCGGTCGTCATCCTTCCTTTCCCCGTTTGCCCCGCTTCGCACCCGTGTGGCCATTTGTGCAAACGCACGTCCGCAGGCGCTGGCGTGGATGCTGTCGAACGACATTACCGACGTTCTGGACCTGACCTTCACTGCCGAAACGGATTTCTTTGGGCGCAAAGAGACAGTGGAGCTGGTGCCAGGCGGCAAGGATATTCGCGTGACAGAGTCCAATAAACGCGAGTACGTCAACCTAGTGGCTCGCCACCGCATGACCACATCCATTACGGCCCAGATCAATGCCTTCCTGGAGGGCTTCTGGCAGCTGGTGCCACGCCACCTAATCGCCATATTCAATGACCACGAGCTGGAGTTGCTGATCAGGTGAGAGCCGTGTCGATGTTGCAATTAAGATAATGAAGGTGTTTCTGCACTTTGGGCGGCCATAGCATGGGCAGGATTGAAGTTTGAAGGTTCAGGTATTCGGTTTACTTCTGGCTAAATGGGCCCTTGTCACTTCTCACTTCTAGGCCGTGCGCCATTGGGTATTTTCGCTATATATTCCGACATGGACCTTACTTCTGTCCTTTGAAATGCCCACCTCCCTGCCGAATTGCAGTGGCCTGCCGGATATCGATGTAGACGACCTGCGTGCCAGCACAGAGTACAGCGGGTATAGCGCCACGTCTCCCGTGGTCCGCTGGTTCTGGGAGGCGGTCGGTGAGATGGACAAGCAGGAACGCGCCCAGCTGGTGCAATTTGTGACGGGCACATCGAAAGTTCCGCTGGAGGGCTTCAAGGCGCTGCAGGGCATCAGCGGGCCGCAGAAGTTCCAGATCCATAAGGCTTATGGCGATGGTAAGTGCAGTCTTGTCTTGTAAATGGGTAGCGTACGCTGTAGGCTTACTTTGTGGGCTAAGGGTTATTGAATGTTGCGACTATCTGAAAAAGGCGCAATATAGCAGATAGTAGCGTTCAAGTGCCCATGACTAGTCCGGGCTTTTGCCAATCTGCCAATCTGCCACACAGCAGCGTTTCATGGAGATTTAGTTGGGCGGTTGCCAGCGGTTGCCAGCAAGAATGCTACATTCAACCTAGTTTTAATGGATAATAATTGTGGCTTTCGTCTCTTCCGCAGGTTCAAGGCTGCCCTCGGCTCACACGTGCTTTAACCAGCTGGACCTGCCTGAGTACGAAAGCAAGGAGCAGCTGGTTGAGCGGCTCAAGGTGGCCGTACACGAGGGCAACGTGGGCTTTGGTTTCGGGTGATGTGTCCTGGCAAACATGGCTGGATGCCTGGGAGAGATACGCATGGATGTGCTGTGGATATGCATGCAAGGATGGAAGGATCAGCTTGTGTACAGTTCAAAAGGCATGTTCACCGGGCAGGAGCGCAGTGTTTGCCCTATACACTGTTGTTAGGTCACGTTGATCAAATTGTAGAACTATGGGACGTTTTGTTCCAATGTCTTTTCCAAGTAGCCCACAGCCTTCACCAAAAATATAGGATCAAGCCGTGTGGATGTAGGCATTGTGAAAATCGTGTGTTTACTATGTATCGTCGAGTCGCGGTAGCTAGTATCTTGCAGGCGACGGTGCGCTGCAAAGTGTGCTTAGTGTAGAAAGGAGTGATATAGCCCGTCTGCAGCGGATTTGTTTTCGACTTTTAGGACTGTGTTGAGTATAACTTCTTACAAGGTTGAGCGAAGGGCCGACTGGGACATCTAACCATGTAATCATGTTGAATTCTCATACGTCACGTAACCACTTACAACATATATGGCGTCAGTAGTGGCGGCAAATTAATAAGCCCACAATACAAAGGGCAGTAGCAGCCGTCAAGACACCAGATCACGAATCTGTATTAATCGTCGCCAAATCTTAAATTCGTTACTTCAGTTGGAAAAAGTCGAAGATGCGATCGTAGACGCTGATCACATACTGATGCGCCTAAGCAGACAAGTATGCAGACTAAAGAATATACACACGCGCATACGCAGTAATTGGATGGAAGTCATTTATCATTCGCCCCAAAAATTAATACTTGCAAGCACTTTAGGACACACCCTCGCGTCCCGGAGCAAAAACCTTTGCATGCCAAATCCTGCCACGGCTACCAGTACAAGTGCAGAGCACCACCTGCTGGCATGCTGAATTAAGCAACAATACTTTTGGGTATGACGTCACTGCACCCTCCTGGGCGCTAGAGACCCACTATATGCAAAAACAATGTGTCCCCTCCGATGTCTTGCTCTAAATGGAGTCTGGAATGCTACTCGAAGGGCTGCCTTGGTTCGCCGACCAGCTTGGCCGAGTCAGCACTGTGAAGGCAAACTTCATGGCCGCCGCTGGTCCTGGTGCAGAGGTGCCGCCCTGGACTGGTCCGCTCACGTCTGGCCGAGCAAGCCGCACACCGCCAATCTGCTGACAGGCCTGTTGAACCACAGCTTCCGCTGGCGGGCGGCCGAAGTTATCCACCAGGTAAAATGTGTGCTCACCAGCACTTCCCGCCAGTGCGCGCACCTTAGCACGAGTGATGCATAACCCAAACTTGCGCCATACTGCCGTCAGCGCCGGCAGGTCGGCTGCTGGCGCGCCTCCGGAGCCTCCGGACCCGCTACTTGGTGCCCCCTGGATATGCACTTTGGTGCCCTGCGGCTGCCGCCTCTGGATGGCACATTCGAGCATGTACTTGAGTTTGGCCGCCTTGCGCGGGTCCCAGTACGCGTCGCCATACCGGGGTCGCATGTAGAAAGTCTGCACTGCGATGCTGACTTTCGCACCGGCCTTGTCACGATCCAGCTCGCAGTCCACAGCGCCATGGTAGACGTCTGCAGTAATTGGGTCGAGGGAAACGGGACATGCAAAAGGGGGAGCAAGCATTGCAACAATCATGCCGATGCTCCCAAGTTCTGGCAGGTCTCACAAGCAAAGGCAAAGTACGTTATGAGCGCCTGTGGCGATCTGGCCCTCGGAGTGTGCGTGCTGATGCTATCACACGCAATCCACTGCCTGTGGAGGACCCACAGGGCCGCGGACACCGGCACGCACTGCTGCCGGTATGCCATGCAATCGTGACTGGCCTTCCGGAACTACATAATCCTTGCAGTAAGGTGATACTTGCTGGCGTCACCTCCTTGCAAGGATTATGTAGTTAAATACATGGTTGTGTCGCAAGAGCGAGGGTACAGGTACAGCAAGGGTACCGGCACACCCTATTCATCACGCTGAGATATAAACCACCTGACGTTTCATAATATCTGCTATGCATATTGACACACGGTAAGCGGGGGGAGCGTTATCTTCTCAGGCATCTGTGCCGCCCATCCTTGTGGCGCCTCGAGCTGTTGCACAATATTCCGGTGCTTCCGGTATTACACAGCAAATTACAGGACTTTTAAAGCTAGCAACTGCTGCCCGGCACGCAGCAACGCACCATAGTTCAGATCCGCAAGTGTGCAGACAGTGTCAAACAACAGCTTCTGCCGGTCCCGGCACCGTATGTTGACCATCCAGTAGTCCCGTTGTTTCGAGTGCTGAACAAAGACTTCAGGCTTTTGGGCGGACGAAGCCGGCGGCGCGACCGGTGGTGAGGGTGAAGGCGGTGCCGCCAGCGTCGCAGCTGGGGTCAACACATCTGTGGGCGATGTGGAGCGGTTCTCACACACCCCGCTGGCGCCATTTACACCAGCCAATGCCAAAGAGCCAGATCCAGAGCCCGTTGTTGTTGTGCCCGTGCAAGGAGCAGACCCGTTTGCTTTCCCGTTGTTCCCAGATGCGTCCGTCCCCGAAGCGGCCTCTGATGCGCTCGATATAGGCACGCCATTTGGCCCCGTGACGCCAGTCTGGGCATCCGCAGATGAAGTGGCGCAGCTTGCGCTTGCTCCACCATGCGTGCTGCCATCGGGACTCCCCACCTTTGGCGATCCCGTTGCAACAGCAACGTTGGCTGCAGCTGCGGCCGCGGCGACTGCTGAGCCCACTGAAACTGCACTCCCTTCCTTTGGGGACGGTGGTGCCCCAAGCGAGGCACCAGTGGATGCACCTCCTGAGCCAGGTGAGGGTAGTGATGGAAGCCACGTCGAGTAGAAGGGCTGTAGCGGTGGGGGATGGGGTCGGCCCCCGATATTGGCGGTGCGCTGAAAGCCTGAGGCAGCAGAAGCAGCAGCTCCTGCTGCTGCAGAGCCGGGCCCTGGGCCCGCGGCACCAGCTGCCCCGGGACCATGTGTGCCCGCCCAGCGCCGCTCCTGCAGTGCATGCAGCTCCGCGATATCCTGCTCATACCGTGCAGCTAGGCCGGTCTGGCGTCTCCACTGGGCCTCCTCCTCCCGCAGCAGCAACTGGTGGAGCCGTCGCTCGTAGTGGATGAGGCCCTTGGTGTTGGACACGTTAACGACAGATTCGGCGACGTCCCCTGGTGTGTGCATCATGTTAAGCAACAGCTGCCGGAGCCGCGCCAGCTTGATGTTGTCCTTGATTGGCAGCCCCGTAGAGCAGTCCAATACGCTAATAACGAAGGCACAGCGCAGGTTATGCGTCCAAACCGCCGCGCTCCGGACCTCGCAGCCGTTAATTTTAAGAAGCTCAATCACGTCTGCTAGGAGGCCTGGGGCGGCGGAGGGCAAGGGTTAACGCAGGGCCAGGTTGGTGCAGGTACGGTTGGGAAAGGAGGGCGACGGCTGAGATCCCGCCGGCTGCAAGGGTGGTTGCTTGCTGCTGTGGTGCTGCTCCTGAATGCCCGAAAATAAGAGAGACGGTCCGCGCACCACCGGCATTCCGTGAAGCCCTTCGTGCAGGCACACGCCAGCATCTGGTACCCAGCTCCCAGTCTTCTCCGCTACCATGGATGGACTGGGTGGATGGCAAATCAGGAGGAGCACGCACCAATGCGGTCGTTGCCTGCTAGTTCAAAGAGTGTCGAGCACTGGGAAGCCTCCTCAAACGCACTATCGACTCCACTTTCGTTATCAGACCCCGGGTCTGCATCAACGGATAGAACCTGTCACGTTGGGCACACGCAGAAGGGAGTGTGTGCATGTGCGTGTGTCTGTGGGGGTCGATTTGGACCTTAAGCAGAGCAAAGCATGCAAGGGACAGAGGGACTTGGAGGTGCAGACAAATATGATGCATAGAGGAGCTCTGTTTGGAACATACCCTTCGCCGTACAGACCCCTGAAAGTGCTCCCAACCTGACACGACATCAACCATGATGCATGTTCACGTGGTAAAGTACCTTTCGTATGGCTCGCAGCTTGCGTTCATTTGTGACCTTCTTTCCGGCATCAGTGACAGAAAATTCATCGACAAACCAGCCTCCATCTGAAGAGATGCGAGCTTTAATGACACACAACCCAAGCTCTGTGAGTAGCTGTACAACCTCAACCAAAGTCCCTGGCCGGTTCGCAGAGTCAAGAGTGATAAGAGTCCGGTCAGCATAAGTCTCGTTGTCAATATTGACCTGTAATACAGGGGAAACGCTATATTTGGTTCATCACCAAACCTCCATCCGATTTCGCTCCATCACATACTCACGTTTGGCGGGTGTACACGCAACTCCAACGTCTCGTACTCCAGAAGAACGCCGTTCGCAGTTACGGAAGAATGCTTGGCACCATTAGCTTGCTCTGCTTCACGATAGTCGCTAAATGCAAGAAGGCTAGGTGTTCGCGGTGGCTGCCCGCGAGATAGGAGTATCGCGTTCATTTTTTTAAAAAAACGCTGCAAAGGCACACACCTCCCATGTGAAGTCAGGTTACAAGCGGACGTATGAACGTCGGGAGATGGTTTTCGACAAGCACTCCTATTCCGTACGGAACCCCATCCCGTACCTTCTCCCGACGTTGCTTGCGGTGCGCACGTTGCCCAGGATGCCGTCAATCTGTTTATCTGTTATGTGGGTACATTTGATGGAAGCGGTCAAAACGTGGAGTATCTTAGAATTACCATCGGTAACTTTAAACTTTGCATCTCGTTGCGGTTGTGTGGCCGATTTTTCTGCAGAGTTATCGTTACTGCCTATGGACTAGTAAAACTGCGGCTAAATTTCCCTGGGCTGGAGGATACACAGAGCTGGCGTACGCGATTGTCACAGTGTTGGAATTGATGGAAGTATGCCCCAGGCATTGCGGTAAATAAGAAAGCATTATAAATACCTTGTATTCGGTTGATTGGCCTAGGCGATGGTTCCTGCGACAGGAACCCTGGCGATGACAGGCAGGAAGCGCAACCCTCTGTAGTAGGACAGTTCCGCTCATCGCCGCAGGGTGGTTCACTGGCAAGGTTTAGCGTGAAGTCCCCAAATACACATTTTTCCATGTTCTGGGCTGGCTGATCGACGTCGCGAAAATATTTACGCCTCGGCGGCAAGGGTGGATCCACCGGGACGTCAAGTGAGCCTATTTGGGGCCAAAAGCTTCATATAACCTGGGCATTGGGAAGGCATGCATTGATATGCATGTACGCATATGGGTATCCAAGTCTGAAACCCGGCGCGCAACTCTTTCGACTCGGGACATATTTCTGGCCCAGGCACATGTACGGAGTCACCCCTTTTCGCCTGTGATGCGTTCAGAAGTGATGCGAGGCGTGAAGTGAAACCACTTGGTGCGGGGCAAGAAGGGAAAGCCTTTTGTGCGGGGCAAGAAGGGAAAGCACTTGGTGCGGGGCAAGAAGGGAAAGCCTTTGGAGCGGGGAGGGGAGGGACAGCCCTACCCACGGAGCAAGAAGGGAAAGCCCAGGATGATGGAAGACGGCGGGAAAGGTCGTGTGATGCAGTGATGCCTGTGTCGGTGCTTGTGTCTGCGTCTGGGTGGGTAACCCATCGTACGACATGGAGGCCCCCCGGTCCGCCCCATGGGGGCTTCAGCGGGTTCAAATCCCACATTGATCGAGGTATGTGGTCTTTCCGGTATTCCATGTGTTCCAAAACCTTGACTGTCTGTGTATATGCGACAGGGCACGATTGAGCAGAATGCCTTCTGGGGCTACTCGAAGCCTACTGCAAAGCGACGGGTAAGGCCGCGAATGCCGCCAAGTGCGAGGTCCTTCACTTTTGGGGGCGCTACACGTGAGCGGAAGCGGCTTATGGGAGCTGAGTACCGGCTAGGTGGGGTGGGGTTGTGGTTGCTGACCGGGAACGAGACGGCACGGTATCTCGGGTTTCACTATGGCCCAGGAGTGCAGTTCTCAGCATGTACCAAGCAACTACTCACAGCAGGGAGGCGGGCCACGTTTGGGCTCAGCACCCTGTGTCGAGATAAGAAAATTACCACCCCCAAGCTATGTATGTATGTCGTTACAGGGTGGTGGTTAAGCTTCACCAGCGGCCCCCTTTCCCGAGGCAGTTCCCTGCTCTCCCCTACTAGAGGGGCAACCTAATCCGTTCACCCCATCCGACTTCAAAATGTATTCGTTGGGTTGGGTTCAGCAACTCACCACCAGCATCCAACCAAATTTAGCGGATCAGCGGCGCCTCAACTTAGTTCCTGGTCAGCTCGCAAGTTGATATTATCACGTCCTACACCGTCCATAAGATGGGGGGCCACATCCCATTTCAACGCTTCACAAACGCCCGAGAAGTCGGCAGGCGGATTTGAACCCGTACACATGTATGTCTCCCTGCAATACACTAGTTATACCGGTGTTTTCTTATGGAGTGCAAGTTTGGGGACCTGACTTCATAAATGTGAATTTTGAAGGTGCTATGACTAATCCCATGGTCCAGGAGCAGCGTGCATACATGCGATCTGCAGTTGGGGCGAGGAGCCCGACTACGGCTTCCCTATACCGCGAGCTGTCACAGAGGCCGCTCCAGTTCCATTGGACCAATCTTGTACTTAGGTTTTGGAACTCTGTGGTTAAGAGGCCGGGAACGCTGTGTCACCGGGCATTTGTCGCTGACCTGGAGTTGGCACTTGGGGGCGTCCCTGAGTGTTGGACAAGCAAGGTACTAGCCTTTTTTACTAGCTTAGGAGTGGAACCCCCCCCTAATACGCGCGGTAATGATCTTATAGCGTACTACGCCACCCTTAAATTGCCAGTTGAGAGCATTCTTAAGGTATTTGCCAAGCGGCTTGATGCACGGTGGGAGTGCCCGAATACCTTGGGTGAACCCCCGCGTTTTCCCCATAGGGATTACCGGAGCCAAGGCTTGTCGCTATATGAACTGGATGGGAGCGGCCCCGCCTAAGGGGTGCGCGTCTCGATTGGTTGGAGCACACTAAAGTGACCATGCCCCATCGTGACTACATCATGTCCTCATGCGTTTTCGGTTAGGCTGTTGGGAGTTAAGAGGTTACTAGGCCTAATGGGCGTGAGCGCACCGCGCGTACCTGCAGGCTTTGTGACTGTGGAGCGGTTGAAGATGAGTTGCATGTTTCGATGAATGTCCCGATTACAAGAGCATACGAGCTAAGGTGCTATAAGGTGATAAGTGATCGTAGAACTGACAATGTGATAAAGCTTCCCAGAAGCCTCCCACTCTGTAACATTACATTACATTACATTACAAGAGCATACGAGCTAAGTATGATGGTGACCTAGTCTGTAAGGGGCGCAGCATGCGCACCATTATGACTGAGGCGCCACCCCTGGCATTGGCCAGGTACCTCTCGGAAATTTGGCACGTCGCGCTGAGGCGCTTCACGAGGCGCGGACGAGGCAGGATGATGATGGCCTCCCTCGTCAATACCCGCATCAATACCAACATAACGTCCATGGCTCCCCCCCTCAGGCTTTTACGGACACACCCGCACGTGTGTGCGGAACTTGTAACTTGTAACTATGTGTCTGCTTCCATCTGCCTGCTATCTAGGGGCCAGGATCTATCAATATTATCCAACAGATGTACATACATGTACACATGTGTACATGTTCGTATAACGGCACCTGCTCTTGTGGCGGCAGCTCCTTGATGCGCTTGCTTAGCAAGGTATCGTACATTAGTCGCCACACAAGGCTGTTGCCCTCTACCACCAAGCGGAATTTCTTGCATGTGAGTACTAGCTTGCTTAAGTCTCTCCTGCCGCCTGTCGAAGTAACAAGAAATAGAAAAAAAAGGCAGAGGGTGCGCCGCACTCTTCCCGAAGAGAAGAGGAGAACGGTGCCTAAGACCCACACCTCTCCCCCGCTCGCTCCCCCTGCGCGTATCCTCCACACCCTGTGGAGCATGTGAGTCTGTTGTGGGATTACCGCGCGAGACTCTAGACATCTTATCCTTATACACACACACACACACACACACGCACACGCACACACACACACACAAAAAACCCAGCTCTATCTTGTTAGGCGGAATAGCTACTCCGGTTGTACAGCTCTGAGTGAGCACCGGGTATGTTCCGTGCACCCCCCCTGGAGATCGCCTCATCTCCCCACGGGCCCACCCCCTCCCGACGTCCTCCGCTTCCCTCAGCGCGATACACAACACCCCTCACCTCCCCGTCCCCTCTCCTCCTCAACTCCTTCAACGCCCTTCCGCGTGCCTGAACTCATCGTGCAGTTATACATACACACACACACACACACACACACACACACACTCTCTCTCTCTCTCTACCCGCCATCTAGCCACCCAAACCACCTCTCTCGGTCATCTCATCTCACCTCTCTCGCCCCATCCTCCCTCCCCTGCCAATTTCTCTTACTAGCTACCAACCGTCATCCGCTGCGTCATCCTCACCACCCGCGGGGCCCCCACCTCCCCCACCGCACCCCGGGCCCCCAGCCCCCTGCTCGTCCACATACTTGGCGCCGAACTGGCTGTCGTACTTCTCGTACCGCTCGACTTCCGCGTCGGACACGGTGCGCTTCTGCGCCTTGCTAGCCATCTGCCGTTAGGGGTTCGGTAACGTCAGTTATGTTGTTTGTAACAGTTACGTTGTTAGCGGAAGTCAAGCGAGCCAAGGTAGAACAGGCCAGTAGGTGGTACGGCAGTCAGAGCCGGCTATATGATCTGAAGCTGGTCGGGGCGGAGTCGTCCCACATAGCTGTGCTGAAGGGACAACGAGGGGATTCCCTCTGGTCGATGACGTCACCGCGATATGGAATGCATGGAAAATACGGCAGGTAGCGAGAGAGATGGAGGGAAAAGTCCGTTGTGTGTTTTGTGTGTGTGTGTGTGTGTGTTCGTTTTCTTCCCCTTTAGGGGAAGAAGGGGAACCAAAGTCTGGTGTTAAAACCTATAACCTTATTACCCCCAACCCCCACATCTATCTCCCGTACCTGCTTTAATCGTCTGTGGTTTTGCACCTTCCCCCCCTCTCTCCCCCCCCACACAACTCCCCAACCAACCCGGACACCCCTACCGTCTCAGACGCCCCCCTCTCCCCCGCAACCCTCATTCCCTAAAACCACCAGGACAGACTCCCCTCCGTACGGCACCCACACCTGGAAGTCCCTCAGTTGTACGGGTCGCAGGTCCCCTGGAGTGACGTTGGTGACGTTACCTCGGCTCCGAAACAAATCCCGGACGGGGCCCTGACACGCCTCTTGGATCAGGTTCTTCATGTCGCTGCCACTGTAGCCTGCCGTACGATCCACAATCTTGGCCAGGTCAGCCTCACTGAGGCTGGTGGATACCTCAGCTGCGCGCCAAAGCGCGCGCGCGCGTGTGTGTGTGTGTGTGTATTGGGGGGAGGGGGGAGGGGGGAGGGGGGAGGACGTTTGGGTTGGGGGTATGTCGAGCGGTTACACGGGAGATGGAGGGGGGAGGGGGGGTTATTTGCTTGGGGTGAAGGGAAATCATATGCAGAATGCTAAGTGGGGGTTCAGGGGGGTGGAGGAAAAGGGTAGTGGTAGGTGAGGAAAAGTTACCAGGAAAAAGAGTTCAGCAGTACGTGTGTGTTTTATAGCGTCCCCAGAAACGGCACTTTGCGGTACCCCTCCCCCTCCCCCTCCCGTTGCCAACCACACGACTCAGGCGACGTGTTTTAGATGCGCAATTGTCGTTCTTCCCAACTCCCCTCTGCTTTCCCCGCCCCCAATACACACACACACACACAGATGCCCACTTTCCCCCGCCATCCCACCCCTCGATTCCTCCGGCCCCACTTACAGCCCTGCCTGAACGCATTCATCAACATCTGGTGCCGGGCCGCGGCACAGGGCAGCGGGATGTACAGCTGCTTGGGCATCCGCCTTCAAAGGGGGGGGGGAGCGGGGTGGGCAGGGCGGGAGGCACGGGCGTATGGCGGGTTACGCACACAGGGTGGGCACGGGGATGGGTGTGTTGGGTGTGTTGAAATGAAGAAGAGGAGTGGGACAGAGCCCCGGGGTGATTGCGCTGTGGCAATTTCCCACCCCCCCTCCCCTGAAGTCTGTAGACCACACACACACACACACACGTACACACCCCACTCCACCCCCACCACCGCAGCGGCCCCCCCTCCCCCTAACCTCCTCGCGGCTTCATCCAGCTCTTCGGGCCGATTGGTGGCTCCAATGACCAGCACCCTCCGCTCCCCGCTGCCAGGGTCGCACCCGTCCATCTGAACCAACATTTCCGTCTTCAGACGCCGACTGGCCTCGTGCTCGCCTTGGGGCGGGGGGTTGGGGTGGTGGTGGTGGGGAAAGGGGGACAAAACGAACCACTGGCGGGAAGGGGGTTATTGCTGCCTGTGAAAGCGAACGGAATTATCGCAAGAAGCGATACATATGTTGGCAAGCGGGAGATACATACATACATACGTCCCCCTCTTCTTCCCTCTCATATCCTGAGCGTGTGAAGGGCACCGCTGACGGCCGCCTATGCCCCGGATTGCTACTGCTGCTGCTGCTACTACTGCTACTGTTGCTGAAGGCGCTCGTTCGCAATTCCCCCCAGTTTCCAAACCCTCTCCTCCCCCCTCGCCCTTCCCCTCCCCTCCCCTCCTCCCCAAACCCGCACCCTCTGCCTTCCTAGCCGATAGCAGCGAGTCTATTTCGTCAATGAATATTACTGAGGGCTGCAGACACCCCGCCAGGGCGAACAGAGCTCGGACCTGGAAAAGGGGGAGGGAAACCGGGACAAAGGGGGGGGTCGAACTCCATGATGATGCTCGAGCAAAGGAAGCATAAGAAGGAATCAATGGCCGACAGACAAACCGACAGACAGGCAGACATGGTCCGGTCCAAAGCGGACCAACCCCGGGGGATGGAGGTGCGGGTAAGGAGTGGCGGAGGCGATGACGGCGGCATCGAGGGTGGGGACGCTAATATAACAGGATCCCCTCCCCTCCCCTCCCCTTCCCTTCTCCCCCTCCCCCCCACCATCTTCTCCCCCTCGCCGATCCACTTGCTGGTGAGTGAGGAGGCGGAGATGGAGAAGAAGGTGGCGGAGATGTTGGCGGCAACGGCCTTGCCAATCAGGGTCTTGCCTGCGCGTCCACGGAGGCGGGAAAGGGGAGGGGGGAGGGGGGAGGGGGGGGGTTGGCTGGGGGGCTTTCCTCTTTGGTGAGGTCGCGGGTCACGGGTGGGAAGGAGGTTGGGAGGTTGGGAGAGGACTTCAGTGCGAACTGATACCACCGCATTTTAGCCTCTTTTGGAGCTGCCTAAGTTGTTGGTCGTGCACGGCCGCATGGCAGGTCCTGGGTGCGTGTTAGGTAGCCCCCTTGCCACACCCTCGGGTGAGTGGGTGAGGTGAGGTGGGGTGGGGTGAGGTGAGGTGAGGTGAGGTAACCCCCTTTCCTTTCGCAATCGCAACGGCTGGTGTGAGTGGGAGGAGTCTCAGTTGGTAGTTGACAGTCGGTTGGGGGTTGATAGCAACGACAGTTGAACAGCGACTGGTTGAAGTTCCTGAAACGCATGTCCTCCCCTCCCCCAGCGGGGGGATATGCGACATGGGAGTGTAACACTGAGGAACCCAATGACTTTATAGCAGGTCGTGTTGTAGCAGGTCGTTGCTTACTGATCCTGACAACCAACGTCATCCCGGCGTTTCATCGCCCTTTGTGAAGCAATCCCCCCTCGCTCCTCCCCCTCAATCCACCCACACACCCACACACACCTTCCTCATCCCCCCCCCCACCCCAACCCCGCACCCGTGCCAGGTGGGCCGAACAGCAGCAACCCCCGAGGGGGGGCCCGAGCGCCCTGTAGACATACACACAGATAGACACGTGTGAGTATGTGTGAGAGTGCATATAAGTTCCTCTAACTGATACACGGAAGGCACTCGGAAGCAGTGTGGGAGTGTGTGGTATAACCCTCCTTCAAGCACCTACCTCCGCCCCCACCCTCCCCCCAACCCTCCCCCGCACCCTTACCCCCACACTCCCCCCCCCTCCCGCCACCCCTCCCCGCCATCCCCATTCCTTCCCCCCTCCCACCCTGAACAGCTGCGGGTTCATCATGGGCCAGACCACCATCTCCTGCACCAGCCTCTTGGCCGCCTCCTGCCCCGCGATATCCCCCCACCCGATGGCGGCGGAGCGGTCCAACACCTCGTTGAAGACGTTGTCGATGATCTTGGGGTCGAGCTTGGCAAGGGGCTCCGGAACCACCACATTGCCCTCAGGGCCGTACGCTGCAAAGGGGGCCGTGTGTGCGTGTGTGTGTGGTGGTGGGGGGGGAGTGAGTTATAAGCGGTGTTGATGATGGCAATGATGATGCAAGAAGAAACAAGAAAGGGAAACTGCGCCGCCGACATGCGCGTCCAAAACACACACGCTAGCTGCCGTACGAGTCAAAGCGAGATGGTGTCACTGCCCCTCCTAAAGGATGCTACTCCGGAAGCTCACACTCACACTCACACTCAGGTCATATGGATATCACCACCGAAATGTCATTGCTTGTGTAGTCGCAGGTAGCGGCGAGAAAGGAGGGGGGGGAGGGATGGAGGGACGGAGCACAGGCCTAGTGCTTTCCCCTACGTTTCCCGCGCTCCTGGTGGGTCCTTTTCGCCTCATCCATCCATCCATCCATCCATGCATCCATCCATTCCTTCCTTCGTTCACATCCTGCAACGCCCGCAGCTCTTTCTCCCGGGGCCCCTACCTCCACATCAAAACACCTCCCCCCCCTCTCCCACCCATTCCCCCCCTCCCGCCCGCCCTTCCCCGCAGAAGCCGGTTGCGCTCACACAGCAGGTTGCGCTCCGCCAACATCTCCAACAACCGGGGGGGATACGGACTGTCCACATCTCCATCGCCGGCACCGCCACCTGCCGCCGGCGGTCCCTCGATGCCCCGAGCCACGAACGGCGGTACGAATCCCCGTACACTGGAGTTGCCGCCGCCGCCACTGCCGCCGCCACCGCCACCACCACCCGTCTGCTGCTTTTTATGTGGCCGCATAAGGCCCGTCCTGGGTGCCTGAGTATGATAAAAAAATGGGTCGCCACCGCGCAACAGGGCCCCGGGCCGCGAGGAGAGGTGCCTCCAGTTGCCGTCCCGTATATCCGTCTGTCTGTCTGTCTGTCCGTTGGATGTTTATCATGTTCATCTCGCTTATCCGTTCCTACACCTGCTACTACTTGCCCACATTCCCCAGATAACCCCCCTATCTTTCCTGTTCTCCCCCCCCGCCCGCCCGGAGGTCCGTGATGGCCTGGCACTGCGCACCGCCCCGCTGCGCTCCGACAATGATTACCCCGCCGTTACTGCTATTGTTCTGTCGTACACATTTTGCGTAGTATACACGTTGTCGTACTTACCTGGTTGGAAAACNGTTGGCGGCGCCTGGCCCTTGCGCACGCTGTCCGCCACCAACTGGGCGCGAGCCGTGCGGAAACCTCCGCCGCCGCCGGGGCCGGGGCCGCTGCCGGGGCCGCCCGCTGGGGCCCTCCCCCCGAAGTCTTCTTCGTTCAGCTGCCCCGGGTCCATGGCGGCAGGTCGCTTCCCTGCGGCCCAACGGGACGACCCGCCGCCGCCGCCGCCGCCGCCGCCGGCACCACTGCCGCCGCCGTTGTCCCCGGACCCTTGACCACCAGTTTGCCACCGTGGGGCCCCCTCTGTGCAAGTCACCCAGTGCAAGTCACAGTGTAGTACAGTGCAGTACAGTGCAGTACAGTTCAAAATGGGGTATGGGGGTTACGACGATGGGAACAGGATGATCCCCCTCACTGGCGTTAGGAGTAGGAGGAAGAAGTACTAGTGAACATGCACATGCACACCCAGAGCGACACACACGCCCCGTTGTGCACCGCTAAGCTTCCCCACCTGCTCCGTATGTCGCTGAGAGCGGTCCTAAGGGTTATGCAGCTGTAATGCTGCACTTGCTGACCTGTCTGATGTGATGATGTGAAATTGCAGTGTGGCCGCTAGCGTGCGTTGCGTCTTGCATGAATGTGAGGGACGAGGGAATGCGGGCAGCCGGGGTGGGTTTTCCAGGTGCGGTACCATAGGGCCCTCCCCCCCAGTTGCGCCCCTGCTTACGCCGACACACACACACATACATGCATACACACGCAGGCCATCTACCTGGTGGCTGCTGTTGCACCTGGGGCCCATGAACGCCAGGTGCGGGTGCGGGTGCGGGTGCGGGGCCGCCCAGCGGGGCCCCAACCGCCGCCGGTGGCTGCTGTGGCGGCGGCTGTTGATGTGCGGGCGGCGCAGGCGGCCGGAGGATAGGGCGGGCCGGACCCGTCGTTGTCGCCGCTGCTGCCGCCGCAGGGGGCCCTCCCGCGGGTCGCAACGGTGCCGCCGCGCCCCACTGGCCAGCCGAGGACTGGCCGCCTGCTGCTGCGGCGGCGGCAACGTCAAACGGCGGCTCGTCTGACCCGGTGCGCATGCCGCCGCTGCCGGTGCGCGTGGCGGTTATCTGTTGCTGTTGCTGGCGGTGGTTTTGTTGGTTGTGGTGGAAGTCCAGGAGGGCCCGATGCATCTGCGATTTGGGTCTCACCGCGGGAGGCGGCATGCGGGGTTGGGGTTGGGGTTGGGGGTGGGGGGGCAGTGGGTCCTTACCCCCCCCCTTGCCGGGATGTGAAGGGTTAATGCCGGAGAGTTGGCATTGGCGGGGGGGGGAGGGGAGCTGGAACGCAGCCTGCAGGGGTTGGGTTGGTGGCAGGTTGGATGCACCGCGACCCAGATGGCATTTGGGTCACACAAACGGATGCGGCATGGAACCCCGGATGCGTATGTATGTATGTATGTATATATATGTATGTATGTATGTATATATATGTATGTATGTATGTATGTATGTATGTATGTATGTATGTATGTATGTATGTATGTATGTATGTATGTATGTGCCTGAATCGCAAATTTGCCGTCCTCCAACACTAAGCAGGCGAGGCAGCTGTGTCTCAATGCACATTCTACGAGAACCAGGACGAGCCGTGGCCGCACCTAGCGCACCTAGGGGCTTCAACAGAAACGATCAATCTGGCCGTGCCTTCCTTCAATAGGCCCTAACCCCACCGTCAGTCATACACACACACATACATATACATACACGGGCCCCAAAGGCGCACCACGCAACCCCCCTACCTTGGCGGACGCCTCCCGGGCTGCTGCCGTACCTTGCACAACATCCGCTAAGGGAGAGCTTTTCAGTACGGCATCCGACAGGTCCAACTGCACAGAGGGTTAAAGACGTTGGGACGATAGGCCGGGAGGTTCAAACCTCAAGTCCGGGTTCGGGCCCGGGTGGAGCTGCTCTGCGGGAGAGCTGGTTGTTGTTGGTTTTTGCAGTAGGCTTCATAATTATATACCTCTGCGAGAGATTCCGCCAGGATGCAGAAATCTTTGTCCACACCAATAGCATGGGTGACCGTGTTCCAGAGGCGCTCTCGCCGCGCCGGAGCGCCCGCGTCCAGCATCGCGTCAGCAGCAGCATGGGTGCTGTCGGATTCAGGTACGCCAAGAGACGCCAGCAGGCATTTTAACTGCGTGAAGGGTCGGCCGGCCGGTGTGAGCTGCCTGTTGTTTCATGGCGGAGTGCCAAGGAGCGCGGCTCGCCTGCAGCGCCTTTGCTTGCTGCTGTCCGGACCCAGAAGGAAGAGCTTCTGCGCTGAAATGGAGGAAACGGAGCTGCAGCAAGGCGTCCATCCCGCTGCGTCGCGTGTCGCCCGACAACACGCTAAAAAGATTGCCCGGCAGAAGCTTGTATTCAATGTAAGCATCTAGTGCCTAGAATTATTAAAAGGAATTTAAGATCAGGCAGTGCTTATCGCCGGGGCACACGGAATTCCTCCATTGAACGTTAGGTAGTTTTTACCGCCAATACTGTACGGGAGACCGTTGGACCTCTGGTTGGTCTCCAATCAGTGCCAAGGACCCGCATGTTGGTTTGTGTTCAATATTTCACACTGCCACCATCTCGTTATTGCTTTGTCTAGATGTATGGCGCATGTACAGATCGCAATGCATCCAGGGTGCAGCAAATTGCTGCTAATCCGTATCATTATAAGTTGCAATGAAATTATACATTGGGACTTAAATTTCCATCTTAGCTGTTAGCAAGCGGTGGCCGCGGTCGTTCGATGGAGTATGGATACAACCAGGGTCAATGTTAATGTGCAAATTCCATAGGGAAGGGCGATATGTCTTGGCCAACAACTCGTTTGCGGCCTGTTGAGACAAATGATAACGATGTGGGCTTCGTCAAGGTAAGTCTAACGCTGTCCGTGCGTTCTGTTTCACCTTCAGAATGTGTGCTTCAAGTGTACTCGCATGTCACTAAATGCTTATAGCCATTTCGCGGATGTTATCGGCGACCATGCATGTTCTACTTCACATCGAACTTCCTACAGGGCCGGCAGGTCCTGCCCACTGGCGTCAGGACGTCTCAGCAGAAGCCTTCAAATTCGCATGACCAGTTTGCGGCGGTTTTCGGCTATGCGCCGGGTGAGAGCCTTGCTCATTCCCGTGCCAAAATCGGGAGTGAGGCCAGCGGCCATCCAACATCCGAGGAATCCTCCCCCAAAGGCCACAAGGGCCGCAAGTCACCCACCCGACAGAGCACCGCGACAAGCTTGAGCGAGGACATGCAGCACGCTCTGGGTTATCGCACCAAGCGGAAGGGCGAGCACGACCTCACGCCAGCACAGCAACGAGCTTTCCAGTTCCGCAGCGCCATCAACAAAAGCACAAGTGAGTCGGATCAAGGGGATGGCCTTTCCCCCTACATGTACGGCATCGGCGCGTCGTAACAGCCTGACCCGCTCCTTGGCGCCACCAGTGGTGGCAGCATCAAGCTAGGCCAGCCGGCCCAACACCTAGCTATCCGCACACTTCCAGATGCCGTTCGGGAAGGATGGAATCATGTGCACGATTCGAAAACCAGCTCAATGCAACTAATAGACGGTTTGTGACGAGGAAAGCGTACAACAGCTTCCCGGCCGCGTCCAGAGAGATGTAGTGACCGAGTGGACTGATGTGGCGGTGGTGGCGGCGGAGCAGCAGCGTTGCACAAAACACTGCAACCCACATCACATCACATCACAACACATCCGCATAGCACTCCCCGGTGACCTCTCCCCACCTCCCTCCTCTTCCCATCCTTCAAGCCAACAACACGTGCAGTCAGCACACCCCCTGCACACCCCCTGCACACCCCTGACCCTGCACCTCCTCATCCCCGCCCCCCCCCGCGGCCCTCCTGCAGTCAACCTTGTACCGGATCTGACCCCGGGCTCTATCTTGGAGTCAGCTGCGGGTAAGAATGCTTTGAGGGCGCAGCGGGGCCGGGTATGCGTGAAATGACGTCAACGTGGGGCTCATGGGCCGGTAGTTTCCACGGACGCTAGCAGGGCTTGCTTGGGGGGGGTCTTGTTCTCGCTCGGGTGTACGGCGGCACACCACCGAGCCCGTCAGGCAGTCAGATGCGGAAAACATGCACTTTTGTGTGAGGTGTTGCGGGTGAGTACCCGCGAACACACACACATACATACACACACACCAGGGCGGGGGTAGCGTCCCCCGGCCATAGAGGGCCAGTGAGCTATGTAACAATTACATACATACATACATACATACATACATACATACATACATACATACATACATACATACATACATACATACATACATACATACATACATACATACATACATACATACATACATACATACATAAACACATACATAAACACACACATAAACACACACATAAACACACACATAAACACACACATTGGCGAAGCAAGCAGGCGGCAAAATGGTCAGGACCAGCCCTCCCAAGCACCGGCCCTCAAGCAAGGCGAGGGGAGCGGGGAGGCGGGGGCCCAGTCGCCATTCCCCCATGCCCTGTCAGCCCATGCAGCTGGGCCGCACACAGCCACACGTGGCGGCACGCGGCGCGCAGACCAGGAACAGCAGCCAGCGGCATGCACCCATTCACCAAGGCAGCGGCTCTGGAGTCAGCCCTGGAGGCGCTCGGTCGTGCAGAGGTGCAGAGGAGGAGGGGCGGGTTACAGGTGTGGGGACGACGTGGAGCGGGTTCGCGAGTGTGACACGTCATAGAGTCCCGTTAGCTCACGGGCACTCGGCGGTGGCACTCGGCGGTGGCACACACCCTCTCTCCATTGCGGAGCGGGCGAGTAGAGAGGCACACACCACACGGGGTGCGCTTGCGCAGCCGCTGCACAGCCTCCCCCTCCCCTCCCCTCCCCCCGACAGCCTCACAGCTAGCGGGGGCTGTTCGCTGCTCCAGGCAGGACAGCCTCGAACCCCCCCCCGCAGCACCTTCACCGGAGTTTGGATTAGGGCCATGGTTTGACAGGGGGCCGCCTGCCAGTACCTGTCAGCAATGGCCTGAGCCGACTGAGCCTCCAAGCGGGGAGGGGGCAGCAATGGGGTGGGGGTAGGTAGGGGCGGGAAGGGGAATACCCGGAGGCTTACCCCGGGGGGCCCCCTCATTCTCTCAAAAGGCCTCCGGAACCGGGAGCCGCGAGCCAGTCGGGTGGCGGGTGAGGCGCTGGTAGTGGGTTTGGCTTTCCAGGCAGGGGAGCCTTTTCGTACAGACACGTGCGCAGACACAGGCACGAAATAAGCCGAAGAACGCCGGACGACGGGTGTCAGCGGTGGAGGTGGCGGGGACACCTGTGCACTCGCGGCCTCAGGCCCAGGGCCCAGTCCTGCGGAGGAGAGTCACCGAGAGAGTCCCTACCGCATATGCATGCAGTGTATGGCTGTCACCATAGCGGCCCGAAGGCGGAGAAGCACGACCTGACGAGGGGAGGGGGCCACTGCCCAGCCTCTGAGCTGTGAAGCGCCCCAACCCCCCGTGCCCTGGGCTGAGCTGTCCAGGGGTCCCACCGCTGGCATGCGCACAATTTCTTTGAATACAGTGCGAAATATAATACTACTGGTGCTGGTGCTGGTGCTGCATACGTCCCCAGCTGGTGGATGGGCAGCAGCTGCAGCTAGGCCCGGAAGGGCTGGGAAGGGGGTGTGGGTATCACCATGGCCCGCGAATGCTGCCAGCGTTTTTCGCAGCCCCCATCCCCGTGCCATTGACCCCATGCCCCCTTCGGCCGAGCCTTCGCCGTGCTCGTAATAGCGAGTGGCTAGCGAGGGGTTATACGCTACCCAACCCACCACACCTTTCCCCCCCTTTTTTCTCTCTCTCCCCTTCTCCTATCCAGGTCTCGACCATGATGTCCAGGAGTCCCTCTCGCGCTCTCTGTATGCATGTATGTATGTATGTATATGTCCATTTCCCGCCCTTGAAATGACCGATTTGGTCGCCTCCGGCTGAGTAACCTGGCACCTCCTCCGCAACTGGGTGCTGCACCGGGCCTACATGTGCGCTTTATCCATACACATACGCAACCACAAATACATACATATATACATACATACAACTTTACAGCCGCTACGTGGCCCCCGGCTCCTCTTTCCCTCCCTCCGCAGGCTACGCCCTGCCTCCCAGCTCCCCCCCACCCACCCTATCCCCAGCCATACTGGAAGGTAGGCGGGTCGGCAGGGTTGGGCCGTAGGGGCTGTGTCCCGAACAGAGCATATATATAGCCACCAGCCGCAGAACCAGCGGGCAGGTGCACGCACGTATGTGTTGGTACTACGGCGTCAATGGATCCCCCCGCCTCCTTGGGGCCCAACAGCAACAGGGCCGGGAGGCCGGCTGGGAGGCCTTGCGTGGTCAGGGGCCGTGTGGTGGGCTGTGTTTTACCCCTGCGCGTTGTTTTGTTAATCAGCTGAAGGCGTGAATGGCGACCAGCTTCCAGGATGGTTGCTTGTACGGTTTTCAAACAGTGTTACGGTGTCCGACCCTACCGGGTGGCTGAGCGCGGGGGCGGGGATGGCCGGTGAGGGGGTAAGTGAGTGTGGGGGGGGGTAGGTCAGGGACGCAAATGCAGACAACAGACGCACCACGCAGCGCCTCGAGCCCTTCTCCCGTTCCTTTTTCGCTCTTCCTCCTACCCCACCCCACCCCACCCCACCCCACCCCAGCTCCGGGATGTTGTCTGTGTCTTGAGCTCCTTGCCTGCCTCGATGTTGATAAGCTATTATATATATTGGGGCTATAAGCCGTTATTCCGTTATTTCGAGCACCGCGTCACATGTCCCGAGTCCATCATACATACATACATGCATACATGCCCACCCCACCACCATCCCGACACACGAACACACCGTGCCACCGCCGTTGCCGATAACCCTACCCGCTGCTGCCTATAGGCCTCAAGCCCCCTACCCAGCCCACGGTCGCCGATGGCGCACTGATGGGCACCATGATGCTGCAAAAGGTGGGCGCGAGGAGGGGCCGGGGGCCGAGGGGGAAATCACATGACATGGAATCAAATAGCTCAAGGGGTCAGCTGTCGATACGTCCGAAGCACCAACTCGGCAGCGGGGGCCGCTGCGGGAGAGGAAGCTGGGATGGGAGGGGGGAGGGGGAAAGTGGCAGCCTGCGGGCCCTGGGCTCTGGAAGAGCAGAAGCCGGGTTGGGTGGGGATGGGGATGCGGGGATATCCAGGGCCGACGGTTGGACAACAACTGAAAAAGGGTGTTTCCTTCCGCACGTGGCCTTCCCCTCCCACGGGGTTTGGGAAAAACCCAAATCCCCGCATCTCCGACAGCTGCGGTGCATGCAGGTGTGGTACAACTGGACTTGGCCATTGAGGGGCGTCTAAAGTCCGCCGCTGCGGACGCCGTGTGCAGCTGCAGCTGTGTATTTCCCCCCCCCCTTAACTCAACTTTATCCAGCAGTAAAGCTGCCCTGCAACGGCCTTACCGTACACAGACGGTGTCGTGACGCTTGACCGTACCGTTCATGATCCCGATCTGGGGGGGGAAGGGCCTTTTTGACTATCTCTCGAGGCGCTCTGCGTCCCTGCCGACCACTCCCTCCCCCAACAACTACACCCCTGCCCTTAAGCAGGACCTGAAGCCCTTCAGCAGCAGTACTCGGCTGCCGTACCAAACTACCAACGGCGGCCCCGGTGCGGAGGCCTCCACGGGCGCTGGCTACTTCCTGATGCCGCCCGTGGACGTGAGCATGGCGGATGCGTACAACTACAGCGTAAGTGTCTGGTGTGGGGTTTTCGTAGAAGCGGGGAGACTGCGTGTGCGCGCGTGTGTGTATGTTTGTATGCGTGTGTGTGTGTTTGTATGTGCGTGCATGTGTGTGTTTGTATGCGTGTGCGTGTGTGTGTGTGTGTGTTTGGTCAGTTTTCCAGTGTCCTTTCCCCGTGGTTCCCCTGTGAAGGAGAAGGACACGCTGGGCAGCTGGCCGGGTGGAGGGAAAATGTCAGTGGGGTGAAGGGGGCGGATGAGGTGTTGTTGGGTTGCGTGGGGAGATGGGACGTGCGGCAACACCCCTCCGCCGCCCTTGCCTGACATGTCTCTGTTCCAACCTTACATGTAATGGACCCCCTCTTCCCCTTCTTGCATCAGGATTACTTTCCACACACACACACACACACACACCGCTCCCCTCCCCCCTCCCTCTCCTCCCCTCTTCCCCCATCCTTCCGACCTTCTCGGCCCCAGGTCCCTGCGGACGTGCGGACGGGTGAGGACGCGGTGTGCCTGTTCAGCAGCTCCGCCGCCAAGAGCGGCCTCATCATCTACTGCAACCTCAACCCCGCATGCGCCGGCGGGGAGTACAATCCGTACGACCTGATCGTGGTGGACCGCGCCCGCGTGGACCCTCGGCACCATTACGTGCTGACGCAGTCCGGGGTTACCCAGATGTTGGGGGGCCACGCGCAGGAGCTGCAGCCCTTCCACGCCTGGCAGCGGGACCGGAACCTGTTCACGGTGCTGCGCAAGCTAGTGTTCTTCCAGCAGAACGAGGTGTTCCAGGTATGGTCTGGTTGGGGGGGGGGAGGGGGAAAGGCGAACCACGTGAACGAGTAAAGCTGGAAGGGGGGAGGGGGAAAGACGAACCACGTGAACGAGTGAAGCTGGAAGGGGGGAGGGGGAAAGACGAACCACGTGAACGAGTGAAGCTGCTGCCAAGTACAGAGTGTACCAGAAGCAGACCTATGGTCTGGTGGGGAGGGGGGGAAAGGGAAAGGAGGGAAAGGAATCTTACGCAAGGAACTCAGAATGGGGGGGAGGGGGGGGTGGTATGAGGGGATGTAGAAAGAAAAGAGGGGCGCTGCTAGACGGGAAAACAGTTGCACCCACCTCCTCCCCGTTGTAATCATCCCCGTGGGTGCCGCCGCCATCACCGCATACGTCCTCGCACAGACAGACAAACAGACAGGCAGCCCACCCCCGCAGATAAACGCCTTTTTGATTATCCGAGAAACACACATAAACCTTCCTGGCCGCAGCGGGAACAGCTCCTGCACGCCCAATACACAAACCCCGCCCCTTTTCCTTTTCCCTTCTCCCCAGGCCTTCACTCAGTGGCGGGATGCCGTACGTGTCCTCAAGTTCCGAGCCCGTCAGCGCTTCCTCACCCAGCAGCTGCTGGTCCTCAGTCCGACCTTCCACCGGGCTCTGCTGAACGTGAGGCGGATGACGCTGGCCGTCAGCTGCGACACCAACGGCACATGGCGCAAGACGTCGGGTAAGGAGCCCAGACAGGACGGGTAGGGCAGGTTGATTCCGGTAACGAGAACGAGACCTGAGCCTGCTAGATAGTCAGCATCGCACCTGCGGTGCGCAGACTTCTTAGAGGGACTATTGGCGTTCAGCCAATGGAAGTACGAGGCGATAACAACAGGTCTGTGATGCCCTTAGATGTTCTAGGAGGGGAAGGGCAGTGGGAAGGAAGGAGAAGAGCGACGAGGGGACGGGGACGGAGGTGGGCGCCATCCCCCCCCCTCCGGGGTTTTAAGGCCCGCCCCGGGGGGATGCGATAGATGGGTGTTTTCTCCAGGCAGCCGTACACTTCCCTGTGGTTGATTTCCCAAGTGTGTTTTTCAATGTCCGCTTTGAACTCTCCCTCCCCCGCCCACCCACTATCCCGGGACCACCTCCACGGCCGTGAACATATACATCTCTTCATTCATTCATCCCACGCATCCACGTACATGTCAATTTCACCCGGTTTGGACTTGGATAGCCTAGGCTGTATGTATGTCGGTTCTTACCTCCGAAACCGTACCGCAGAGGGTCGCTGGATCGAGCTGGAGCCGGAGCTGGTGGCCCCTAACCTGGCGGCGGGGCACAACGCCATCACCACTGCTACCGCTGCTATAACCCGGCAGAGCCCCGCCGCGGCCCTGGTCCCCCAGCTGCCTTCCACCCAGCCGCCAGCAAGGCGCTCCTCATCCCAGCTCCCCGCCCGACCACCTTCACAGCTCTCGCTGCAGCAAGGTCAGTACAGCTCCTCAGGCACCGGAACGGCGACGGAGCCAGCAGCAGGTGCAGCTGCAGCGGCGGCGAGCCGCAGCCAAAGCCACAGTGACGTCGCCGCTCCCTCCGGCGGCGGCGGCGGCGGCGGCGAGCCGTCTTCCACCGGCAGTTGTATCTCAATCTCGGAGCCCGACGGTGGCGCCGGCGGCGGCGGCGGCGGCCTGGAGGTGGAGCCGCCGACGCCGCTGCCGCCGGAGCGGCTGCCGGAGAGCGGTCTGCCGTACCAGCTTGGTTTTATGGGCACATTGCAGGACCAGTTCACGTTGGCGGACTTCAAACGTATGCGCGAGGAGCAGCGGAACCTGGTGGCATCGGCGCTGCAGGACATGGTGGCATATGTGAGGTCGCAGGTGCAGGCGGTGGGTCAGGCGGTGCAGGCGAACCTGGCGGCGGCGCAGGCGGCGGTGGCCAAGCCCACACGGCAGGAGGCCCGGCAGCAGAGATTCGAGGCACCGGGTAGGCGGCCGGCACACGCACGGGACCCCCCTTATAAGCGGGACGCTATAAGCCGAGAGCCATAACGGGCGTTGCATCTACGGTATCCATAATGCGTTATATGCATGCATCAATAACTTCCCTTCTTCAGCTCCCGGACGCCCCGCGGCCCCCACTGACTTTGGGTTTTGATCATTCCTCTGTCTTCACTCCTCGCTTGTCCACACACTCGCATCTCCCCGATTTCCCCTCCATCCAAAACACACAGAGAGACATACACACAGATACACACACACGGACACGTTCGATTCTCCCGCGACACATACCCACCCAACCTCCCCCCCCCCGCAGGCAGCCAGGCGTGGAAGACCAAATCGCTGGCCCTCGCGCGCCTCGACGCCGAGCAGCGTCAATGCAACCTGCACGACGCCGTACACACGGCTCACCAACTGCTCCGCTTCATTACCCTAGCGGACTGCCTCATGCTTGGCCAACTGCTGGAGCTTGCGCGCCTTGCCGTACTGTTGTGTGTACGGCAGCTAGAGACGCCGCGCAAGGCGGGCCTGTACATCGTTGTCGGGACGGTGGAGGAGCCGACGGCGGCCGCGGCCTCCGCCTCGGCGCGAACCGGCGGCGGACTTCCCACCTGGGGCCGAGCGGGCACCATGGCGGCCGTCTCGTTTGCCACGGCGACGGGACGACGGCGGGGCTCGAACGGCATGCCGCTGTCGGCGAGCCTTAGCCAGTGGTCGTACGGCGGCGACGGCGTGGGCCCGTCGCCGCGTGTACGAGCGTCGGAAGGTACGGACGACGACGCGTTAGACGGCGTGCCGGCGCCAGTGCCGCAATTTGTGATCAACCCGGGCTCAGAGGAGCTGTCGACGGCGGTGGCGAACTTGCCCCGGGAGATTTTGCATGTGGTAGTGGTGTCGGCGGCGCCGCTGGTGACGTACGCGGAGGTACGGCAGCTGCTGGTGGAGATTGGCGGCAAGGGGATTCCGGTGCCGGTGGCGATGGTGGCGGTGCGGGGGACGGGCGAGGGCGGCGGTGGTGGTGGCGGCGGCGGCGGCGGCGGCGGCGGCAGCGTGGCGGCTCGCGCGGCGGGGAGCTTCAATGCGGAGGTACTGCGCGGGGCAGTGGACGTCCGGAGCTTGATGGTGGGTACAATGCTTTCCGGTAACACCTCCTCCAGGATATCTCGCGTTGGTTTTACCCTGGTGTCGTGTTGTCCCTCGACACACTTATTCTTTATGTATTCCAATATTAGTCATATTAGTCATATTTGAATGGAAGGGAATATTGTTGACATGTGTACATCTTTTAATATGTGACATTGCTCCCTCTCGCTTACCCCCTTAATCACCCCCTACCTACCTCTCATCCGACCGCAAACCCCATGTCATGTCATGGGACGGCCACACGGTGCGCGGGATACGGTGTACGGCGCGTGGCGCGCTGTGTACGTACGGCACGTCCCGCAGACCCGCCTCCAGCTGTCCGTACTCAACGACTACAACAGCGCCATGCACCACCCCGGCATGGCGCCCTTCCGCAGTCGGGAGGTGCTGTGGGGAATGGTCTGCAGGTTCTCAGCGGAGGCGTACAGGTATGGGGCATTGCACGTATGTATGATGTGTGGGACAGGGGGGTCATATCTTCACCCTGCATGTATGTATGTATGTATGTATGTATGTATGTATGTATGTATGTATGTGTTTGTGCGCGATATGGGGGATTCGGCCATGGGCCGTGGGGTTAACATGGACAGCCTTGAAGGGTTGGGGGGGGGAAAAGAGGCCAGTGCGCGCTTACGGACGGAAACACACAACCTACACCTACTTCACCCACTTCCTACTCGCGCATCCGCGCCTTTTTAATAAAAACACCCAACAATTCCTCTATCACTCAATTACTCACGCACTTACATGACACCGATGGTATCTGCCGTTGTTCGTCAGAACCTGATGTGGCTCATCCATGCGAGGGCTCTTTCCCTGCATCCCCCCCCACCCCCCTCCCCCACACCCCCACACATGTGTGCTATCCCATGCTACCCCTATTCACACACACATACACACACACATACACACACATACACACACACATACACACACACATACACACGCGTGCGCGCGCGCAGGAGTGCGGGTATGACTCCGGAGCAGCTGCATGCCGACCTGACTGCCACCTCCAGCTGGTTGGGGGAGATGACCTCCGCCCGCACCTCCGTCATTGTGGGGCTGGTGGCGGTAGACATGTCCGCCCTGCTCAGAGCGACACTGCCGGTCATACAGAAGGCGCACAGGTAATGGCGGTAATGGGAGCGGGGGGGGGAAGGGATGCGGGGGTTGGAGGGGTGGGAGGGGTGGGAAAGGAGGAAAAGGTGGGTGGTGGTGGTGGCGGGTGGTGGGGAAAAGACGAACCACGAGCGAGTGAAGCTGGTGCCAGGGAAAGACTGCTGCAGTGCGGCCGATGTACAGAGAGCAAAGAAACTGACCAGTCGGCGGTCAGGTCGAAAAAACAGTCCTCGGGGTGGTGGTGGTGGTGGTGATGGAGTGGGAGAGAGGGGTGAGGGCTTTGCGTCCAACTGCCGCTACGATCCTCTTGCCTTGGGGCGCAAACACACACACACATACATACATACATACATACATACATACATACATACATACATACATACATGCGCACATACATGCCCTCGTGGGCACATCCTCCCGCCCGCCTGCTCCTTCCTCCCCCATATCTCTTCCCCCGACCCAACTCACCCATCACAGACGGAAGGACACAGACACACACACAAAAACACAAAAACACAATCGAAAAACTAAAAACACCGTCACAAACAACGTCCCGTCCCTCCCCTCCCCGCCCCTCCCCTCCCCATTCCCCAGCGGCATCATGTCGCTGCTGGGCGGCCTGCTGGTGTCCCAGTCCGTCAGCCTGACCGCCAGGCTGGCGGAGTACACCAACAACATGATTGCGCGGCCCAGCCAGCTGCCTGAGTTCGTACAGTACGTCGAGGTACGGCATTTCGAAAGGGGGGGAACAAAAGGGGCGAACACCGATGGGAACGGGGCCGGCTAGGACATGTGAGCTGGCAGGGAGTTGTGTGGAGTGTCGGGGTCGGGGGATCGTGGTAGGGGTGTATAGCGCCAGAGAGGTGGGGGGAAGGAAGGCGGGGAGGGGAGGTGAGGGGAGGGGATGGAAGTATGCAGAGAAGAGCCCATCCACGTGCCCAGGGATCACTGGGGAGAGGGGGGCGTTGCTGGATGTGACATATCGGTTTGCCATATTGGTGATGATGGTGTGGGTGGGTGGGTGGGTTGCGGCGGGGTGGGTTGCGGCGGGGTGGGGTGGGGTGGGGTTGTAAAGGTGCGTTATGGAGGTGCCTGTTCGTCTGTCGCCAGCGACATACGCACCACTACAATGATGCTGTACTACTTTTGTGCGTTGCCCGTCTCTGTGTTTTTTTCTTCTTCTTCCGTGTTTTCCCCTCTCCCCCGCCTTTTCCCCGCATCCTCCCCATCCCTATTACCCCG